AATAAGCATTTGGATGATTAAGCAAAGGTAACTGGAGAAATTTACCCATAACTGCACTAGCCATATTTGTGCAACTTCTAGAATCTATTACCATTGCACAAGCATTCTCTCTAATTGACCCTTTAGTACAAAATATATTTTCTCTTTGAGACTCATCTTCTTTTAAAGGGTGAACATTCAAAACCTCCTTAACAACAATAGTATGACTAGACTCACTAGCAACATATTTAGAATCAGAATCGAAAGGTATGAATGGTTCTCCCTCAACATGTTCATTGAGAGTTTCAAAATGGTCACATACCTCATCCTTAGACTTATATTCAAGACAAGAAGCAAAATTTTCAGATTGTTTTGTTATCTTAACTACCCTCTTGTTAGGGCAATCACGAGCTATGTGGCCTCTCCCATTACATCTATAACAAATCAATTCTCTATCATGTTGAGGCGTCACAGCCTCACTTACCTTTACCTTACCGTTGTCTCGTGAATCATCTCTTGGAGGAGGATTTTCATCACGCCTTTGAAGGGTGGAACAAGTGTTGTTCCATCTTGATGCAATATTGTTGGACTTGTGCATTTTCATCTCTTTAATTTTTGCCTCAGATTCACGTGCAGCATACAAAGCATCATAAAGGGTGTCATATCTCTGAATACTCATTCCACATCGAATTTCTAATTTCAATCAATGTACAAAACGAGCAACAGTTTTTGTCTCTTCTTCATGTATGTTTCCCTGTTTAAGCAAAATATTTATAGTTTGGTGGTACTCATCAACTGACTTTGTTCCTTGCACCGTTCCCTGCAATTTTCTTTCAAGATCATACAAAAAAAATTTAGGACGAAAGGTTAGGCGCATATCTTCCCTCACTTGAACCCAAGATTCATAAGGAATAAAATTAGCAACTCTCTCTCCATTTCTTTTTCGCCACCAAGATAATTCATAACCCTTAAAAGATGTAGCAACTAGCCTAATTTTTGTAAAATCAGAATAGTGCTTTAAATGAAAAAGAGTTTCAACAGCATTCTCCCATTCTATGTATTCAGTAGGTCCTTTCTCACCGGTGAAGTTAGGAATTTCATGTTTAATGTTTCCTAACTCCGCATTACGCTGCTGGATCCTTTGACATCTAGGATCCACTATTCCTACCGGTGGCAGGTGTCGCTCATCATTGTGTGGTGGTTGCACTTGGTGTGAGCGTTGCTCCAAATTATTCATTCGTTTGAGTAACCTGTCTATCTTTTGTTCTAATGCCTGGGGCAGGTTTGGAACTTGTTCAGCCATCTGTAGAGGAAAAAAATATCTAAAAAAAAAAACAAGAAGATGTGTGAGTAGTCACGTTAGTCAAAGCAAAAAGTTGGCTCGCTCCCTCACTATTCTCATCTCGCAGGTAAGAGGTGGATTATATAGCTCTGGGGGTGCACTACACAGTCTTACAAACACACACTCCACTCGTGTATCACTCCAAGTGGCAGATACTCTCACAAGCCTTGTTCCAAAAAGGAAAATTCTAGTCTGGAACTCAAGTTGATATGGATTCAACCTCGAAGTTCAAGAAAACGTACCTTGGAAAACTTCACAAGCCTTTGAGAGGAAGGTGTATTGTGAGGTAGGTAATAAAATTGAGAGCAAGAAGGAAAGAAAAAGGACAATACAAGCAAAGAAACTAAGCAAGATTTGGAAGAAAAAGGGAAGCAAAGAAAGAAGTATGGCAGAAAGATACGCAGGACCAATATCAGTAGATAGACACAAATAGAATGTAATAGGGGTGCAAGTGTACCACAACCAAATAAGAATATATCAAGAACTCCTTCCAACCTTATACTTTTCCCCTTCCTTATCCCTCCAAATTTCTCCTACCAACCAGATTCTTTTCCTAACCTTATTCTTCTTCTTTATTGCTTTCTCTTTTTTGTTTTGTTTTTTTTTCAAATTTCTTGACTTTTTTTTTTGATTTTTTTGATAAGTAACCTCCAAATAACTAATGTAAATATCAACAAAAATTTCGGACCAAGAGGATCTACACAACACCTTCAAAACAAAATCAAGAATTTCAAGAATCACCCAGAAAAACAGAAACACTGCCCTTAATTCGAAGATGAATATCTCAATGAAAGTAAGGAATTAGCACGTGTATAATATATCAAAAGAACGCCCTAGAAGAGATATACAACATATCAAAATTTCAGATAAAACTAACCAGTGGATCTCTAGATATAAGTCATTCTTTGAAAATGGTCACAGAACGCGGAAATCTGGATAGGGTGTGATTGAGACGTAATTGCGCGTAAATGCGCTTTGGATATAGGTAAGGGTGAGATGGTTTATTTTCTTAACAGAATTTTTGGTAATATGGTGCTTAGGAGGTGCGAGGTCTCGTTGATATTGGACGGGAAAAAAGCAAAACTCTTTCGGGATTGTTTTTCAAGAAACTGGAGAACATGTATCAAGATTCAAGAACACAATCAAGAATGCGAAGGAACATTTTTTGGGGGTTTTTAATGAATAAGACACGAATAAAAGTAGTATGTAAGATAAGAACGAGAAAAACCTAGGGAACCAAAGAAACCAAATTTCTAATGATAATGAGATAAACCTAGGCTCTGAATACCAAATTGATATGAATCTAGTCCAAGATTCAAATAAAGATGGAATATTATCCCAAGATTACTCTCAATACAAAGATAGAGATGGATCAAAATACCTTAAACCTCATGAGAAACCCTTTGTCTCGAATCCTCAAAGACTTGGAAGAATCCCATTGTAGCTTCAAGTACCTTGATGATGCAATCTTCAATCAACTAGAGTCGGATCTAGTTTCCTTCGATTCAAGAACGAGTCCACGAACCTAAATCTAAGGTTGAAGAAAGGAAGATTGATTCGAGTCCACGAATCAATTTGCTAGTCGAGTCCACGACTAGCCACTAATTGAGTCCACAATAAGCCATAAGGTTTCTTACACAATGTGAAGAAAAACTTAAGAATTTTATTGAATTAAAGCCTCTTTCAAACTGATATGGATGTTCCCTATTTATAGGTATAGGGCAGCATTGTAATCTAAATACAATGGGAAAAAGAGTCCTAAACCTAATCTAGAAAACAAGTACATAGAGTTTTATTTAGAAAAGGATTGAAGGAATCCTTTCTAAATACAACTAGTGTTTTCTCTTTTATGCCAAACAATTTAAATTAATGATGACCAAAAATAATAGGGCTGATTTGGGCCTAACTTAATCACCAAAATCAGCACTTAAACAATTATAAAAAGCCTTGAAATCTTCTTCATGTTTTGCAAATGGGCTTGACTTGGATTTCCACTATCATTGAATATCACCAATGAAGAGTTGTCTTAATCGTTTGGACTTGGGCCTTGTGATTGGCCCAATTGGTACTCTTGATGGATCTTTATTATGTTGGGCCGCATCATCCTCACCTTCTTGAAAATGATTCGACCTCGAATCTTGTAAGCATTGTCTTCGATCCATGATATCACTTGAAATGGGCCACTATAATACTTTCCTCTATCGAATGGAATTATTATTGGACTTTCTTGTTTCTTCCACCAATGATTTTTTAAGGATGTAGTTATGGGCCTTGTGATGAGCCCACTATAGACCCTTATTGGATTCCATGTGTACTGGTTCTTATTAGTACCTCTAGTACCAATACCAAGGGGTCAGTGAATATAGCCCCGACATGACACCGCAGCACTTATAACCTGACCCATGCTCAACGACAAGCTAGTGAAGGTGGGTTTGTGCCTTTAGCACAATAACCGCTAGGTCTGTAACTTTAGTACAATAACCGGACACTAGTTGTGTCATCCACCAATAATTCATTTCCACCAATCACAATCTCATCATCATTAGTCATACCGGTCATTCCGCAATGACCACGATACCCATCATCATTCAATCAATCAACACATAGTTAATCAATAACAATCAAGACATAACAGCAATGACACATACTACACATAAATTCCTAAAACGGTATTCAAAACATCCAAGGAGACTCATATACGACAAACGGGGTACAACGGGACACAACGGAACATAGAGAAACAACGAACGGGGAAAAACATCACGACTCACCAACAAATTCCAGCGGGTGGGCGGCAGGTGGAGGACCACCCGCCAGCCACCATTCCAGCGGGTGGCCGGCGGGCAGCACTCTGCCCGCCGATTGGCTACTGGACAAGGGTGATCCGGGCAGCGAGTAAGTGGCGGGTACCCGTGCCCCCACCTACCCCCCACTGATACACAGGCAACTTTTCGGTCCCGGGATCTCTAATGGAACCCAAAACCTTGTCCAGACACATTCAAACACATAACAACAACACCACGGATTCAATTAACGAAGATTAAACCAAGAATCATTCCAAATACGTTCTAACACGACTCCTAAACATGCCAAGACTCCACATCAATCACACAACGGTTCAGGAGCATCCGGAACCACAAGAACATCAAGAAATTTATATGCAAAGTCCTAAATACAATTCCTAGGCTAGACTCAACACCCGATCATGCATACACCCACCCAAATATACCAAGAACACCATAATATGAAATTCACGATATAAACCCTAGGGCTCTAGACATAATTAAAATGCAAGATCACGCATATAATCAATTCACAACATAAAGATCACCAGATTATCAAATAAACACAATATAAATCCTAGGCAGAGCTCTAACAAGACTCAATCACAGAATCACATATAAAAGGAGCCAATAATCAAGATATTGCGAGGAAAATAGGTTTTGTAAGACATGGGTTACCTCTTAGCCCTAACCATAATCCTTGGCTACTAAGGTTCTTCTCTAAGATTTTTCTCCCAATTGATCTTTCTAGGCTTGTTGGTGGGGGATTTCCTTGGCTGGATTACGTGAGAGTATTTTTGAGTGAGAGGGAGGTGAGGAAGGGTTCTATCTGCTTCCTAATCCTCTATTTATATGTTTTAGGGAAACCTATTCAGAGTCTGAATAATAAGGCCCACTTTCCTTATTCCCTATGGGCTTAAGGTTCCTAGTTCAGGCAAAGGTCCATGATTCATTGTGGACCGCCTGGATTAATTAAAAGAATTATAATTGTATTAAATCCTTCTTAATTACTTTAATTAACGGAATCAATTTAATAATTAATTCGGATTTGAAGGCCGTAACACTTGGTGCTACAAATGCTCCTCGCCCATCTATACCGCCAATCTGTTCCGCCGATCCAAGCACACATAGTGCCAAAGGTAGCGCAGCACCATAACATAAGATAAGTGCACTGCAGCGCAATATACCGCCAATCTCATATCCTTTATCATACATGGACATCAACACCACATTCGTCCCGAAACTTAGAACAAACGAATGAATCACTTGGTAAGGAAACTTTCAGAAGGATACTAGGAGTATCGAGATTTGGTTTAAGGATTTCTTGAGGAACACTTTGGTGAAATAGGAATCTCTGAGTTCTTAATTATTTTAATTAAATCTTAAACGCAACTAGCTACGCAAGCTTAACTACTAACTGAACTTTAAAGCTTAACTGATTACCTTGATCAAAGCCTCCTGAGGAACCCCCTGGTGGCATGTAGCTAGGGTCCCAACCATACGGGGTCCATCTCTGGACATTCTCAATGCCCATCCTTTCCTCTAACACAATTGCTCTTTGATCAAAATTAGCAAATCCATAATTGACTTGTGCACTCAAATTGTTAAACCTTGTGTTAATCATCTCATACATTTCATCGTATGAGTGTCCCCAAGGTCCTCCCATATACTCTCCTTGCGGCACTATCGGAGGTGTTGCAACTGGTGCTCCCTCATCCTCAACTCTCATCTCTTGATCTGTTCCCACAGCGTTACCTTCGCCACTCGCCTCAACAATGTGTCTGGCTTTGATATGAACCTAATCCAAGATTCAAATAAGATGGAGTATTGTCCCAAGATTACTCTCAATGCAAAGATAGAGATGGATCAAAATACCTTAAACCTCACGAGAAACCCTTTGTCTCGAATCCTCAAAGACTTGGAAGAATCACATGTAGCTTCAAGTACCTCGATGTTGCAATCTTCAATCAACTAGAGTCGGATCTAGTTTCCTTCGATTCAAGAATGAGTCCACGAACCTAAATCTAAGGTTGAAGAAAGTAAGATTGATTCGAGTCCACGAATCAATTTGCTAGTCGAGTCCACGACTAGCCACTAATTGAGTCCACAATTAGCCATAAGGTTTCTTGCACAAGTGTAAAGAAAAACTTAAGAATTTTATTGAATTAAAGCCTCCTTGAAACTGATATGGATGTGCCCTATTTATTATAAGTATAGAGGCAGCATTATAATTCTAAATACAATGGAAAAAAGAGTCCTAAACCTAATCTAGAAAATAAGTAAATAGAGTTTTATTTAGAAAAGGATTTAAGGAATCCTTTCTAAATATAACTAGTGTTTTCTCTTTTATGCCAACCAATTTAAATTAATGATGACCAAAAATAATAGGGTTGATTTGGGCCTAATTTAATCACCAAAATCAGCACTTAAACAATTATAAAAAGCCTTGAATTCTTCTTCATCTTTTGCAAATGGGCTTGACTTGGATTTCCACCATCTTTGAATATCACCAATGAAGAGTTGTCTTAACCGTTTGGACTTGGCCTTGTGATTGGCCCAATTGGTACTCTTGATGGATCTTCATTATGTAGGGCCGTATCATCCTCCCCTTCTTGAAAATGATTCAACCTCAAATCTTGTAAGCATTGCCTTTGATCCATGATATCATTTGAAATGGGCCACTATAATACTTTCCTCTATCGAATGGAATTATTATTGGGCCTTCTTGTTTCTTCCACCAATGATTCTTTAAGGATGTAGTTATTGGCCTTGTGATGAGTCCAGTATAGACCCTTATTGGATTCCATGTGTACTGGTTCTTATTACTCTCCCCTTCTTGAAAAGGATTCGTCCTCGAATCCAAATCTTCAATGAAAGACAAATTAGCAAGCTCACTTTGTGTTTTATCACGGTCATGGAACTTTTTCTTGGGATGCTTGACACGAGTCGCTCCAATCATCATCCTAAAATCAACAAGTAAGGCAATTAAGTCTAATGACACATCGAGAAATTTAAACATTCTGGATGGCAATAATTCAACAAAATGAGACATATTAAATTTAGGCATCTTGTTTGAATTGTCAACAAGCACAAAATCTTTCCTCCTAGAGCTTAAAGGTAAACCAAACACAAAATCCATGGAAATATCAAGTAATGATTTAGATGCATTGTGGTGGTAAGCAGCATAATTATGAACATAAGATTCTACATCTTTTTTCTTCTTAGGCCAATGAAAATATCCATGCAAAAACATCATCACTCTTTGGAAAACCAAAGTGTCCCTTATGTGAATCAACAATTAAATCTTTACCCAAAACAAAGCAAAAATTGTCAATCCCAGTGACATTGAACCAAAACCCCTTGTGCAAGTAGTATTTGCCATAAGAAGTTTTCAAATGTGCCTTATAACTTCCAAGTGATTCCTTATCTCTATCAAATAAAGTTTTAGTAAAATCAAAATTAAGGAATCTTGGATGTATGGATGCAAACAAATTTCTAATACATCTAGTAAGTAGATCATTAATAGAAACATGGCAAACAAATCTAGAGAATTTTAATGCATGCTTTTGAAATAAAAGTGAGTAAATAGTTACTCCCCTTCTTTTCTCTTGCTTAATATCCTTTGTAGTGACCAAGAGAGGTTGCACTTTGACACCTTGGGCTGGTCCTTTCCACTGTATCACTGATTGTGGTCCCTTTGTTTGGCTACAAACTGAGTTAGAGGATTGGAGTGGTGATTGCAATTCCAAACATGGAGGTTCCACTTTTCTCTCTTTGATTTCTTCCTTTTTTGAGGCTGGTTTGAGAGCTTGCATCAATGTCAATTGAATTTCTTCTACTTGTTTAGGATACAAACGAGGCAAGACATATGTAACTCCATTCATGTGAAACACATAAGTGTTCCTCATTCTATCATAACTTATTTTTCTATCAAATTGACATGGTCTACCTAACAAGATATGAGCAGCCTGCATTGGGATATTATCGCACAAGATTTCATCAGAGTAACTGTTAATAGATAAAGGAATAAGATCCTGTTTGGTTACTCTAGCTTCTCCTACATCAGTTAACCATTGCAAACAATAAGCATTTGGATGATTAAGCAAAGGTAACTGGAGAAATTTACCCATAACTGCACTAGCCATATTTGTGCAACTTCTAGAATCTATTACCATTGCACAAGCATTCTCTCTAATTGACCCTTTAGTACAAAATATATTTTCTCTTTGAGACTCATCTTCTTTTAAAGGGTGGACATTCAAAACCTCCTTAACAACAACAGTATGACTAGACTCACTAGCAACATATTTAGAATCAGAATCGAAAGGTATGAATGGTTCTCCCTCAACATGTTCATTGAGAGTTTCAAAATGGTCACATACCTCATCCTTAGACTTATATTCAAGACAAGAAGCAAAATTTTCAGATTGTTTTGATATCTTAACTACCCTCTTGTTAGGGCAATCACGAGCTATGTGGCCTCTCCCATTACATGTATAACAAATCAATTCTCTATCATGTTGATGCCTCACTGCCTCACTTACCTTTGTCTCGTGAATCATCTCTTGGAGGGGAATGTTCATCACGCCTTTTAGGGGTGGAACTTGTGTTGTTCCATCTTGATGCACCATTGTTGGACTTGTACAATTTCATCTCTTTGATTTTTGCCTTAGATTCACGTGCAGCATACAAGGCATCATAAAGGGTGTCATATCTCTGAATACTCATTCCGCATCGAATTTCTAAGTTCAATCCATATACGAAACGAGCAACAGTTTTTGTCTCTTCTTCATGTATGTCTCCTTGTTTAAGCAAAATATTTGTAGTTTGGTAGTACTCATAAACTGACTTTTTTCCTTGCACCGTTCCCTGCAATTTTCTTTCAAGATCACAGAAAGAAGATTTAGGACGAAAGGTTAGGCGCATATCTTCCCTCACTTGAACCCAAGATTCATAGGGAATAAAATTAGCAACTCTCTCTCTATTTCTTTTTCGCCACCAAGATAATGCATACCCCTTAAAAGATGTAGCAACTAGCCTAATTTTTGTAAGATCAGAATATTGCTTTAAATAAAAAAGAGTTTCAACAGAATTCTCCCATTCTATGTATTCGGTAGGTCCTTTCTCACCGGTGAAGTTAGGAATTTCATGTTTAATGTTTCCTAACTCCGCATTACGCTGCTGGATCCTTTGCCATCTAGGATCCACTCTTCCTGCTGGTGGCAGGTATCGCTCATCATTGTGTGGTGGTTGCACTTGCTGTGAGCGTTGCTCCAAATTATTCATTAGTTTGAGTAACCTGTCTATCTTTTGTTCTAATGTCTGGTGCAGGTTTGGAACTTGTTCAGCCATCTGTATAGGAAAAAAAAATCTAAAAACAAGAAGATATGTGAGTATTCATGTTAGTGAAACCAAAAAGTTGGCTCGCCCCCTCACTATTCTCAGCTCGCAGGTAAGAGGTGGATTATATGGCTCTGGGGGTGCACTACACACTCTTACAAACACACACTCCACTCGTGTATCACTCCAAGTGGCAGATACTCTCACAAGCCTTTTTCCAAAAAGCAAAATTCTAGTCTGGAACTCAAGTTGATATGGATTCAACCTCAAAGTTAAAGAAAACGTACCTTGGAAAACTTCACAAGCCTTTGAGAGTAAGGTGTATCGTGAGGTAGGTAATAAAATTGAGAGCAAGAAGGAAAGAAAAAGGACAATACAAGCAAAGAAACTAAGCAAGATTTGAAAGAAAAAGGGAAGAAAAGAAAGAAGTATGGCAGAAAGATATGAAGGACCAATATCAGTAGATAGACACAAATAGAATGTAATAGGGGTTCAAGTGTACCACAACCAAATAGGAATATATCAAGAACTGCTTCCAACCTTATACTTTTCCCCTTTCTTGTCCCTCCAAAATTCTCCTACCAGCCAAATTCTTTCCCCAACCTTATTCTTCTTCTTTATTGCTTTCTCTTTTTTTTTTTTTTTTTTTTTTTTTGCTGTATTTTTTCCAAATTTCTTGATTTTTTTTGATAAGTAACCTCCAAATAAATACTGTAAATATCAAAAAAAAAAATAATCGGACCAAGAGGATCCACACAACCCCTTTAAAACAGATTCAAGAATTTCAACAATCACCCAGAAAAACAGAAACACTACTCTTACTTCGAAGATCAATATCTCAATGACAGTAAGGAATTAGCAAGTGTATAATATATCAATAGAATTCCCTAGAAGAGATCTAAAACATATCAAAATTTCAGATAAAACTAACCAGTGGATCTCGAGACATAGGTCATTCTTTGAAACTGGTCACAGAACGCGGAAATCTGGACAGGGGGTGATTGCGCGTAAATGCGCTTTGGATATAGGTAAGGGTGAGATGGGGTTGTTTTCTTGACTGAATTTGGGGTAATATGGTGCTTAGGAGGTGTGAGGTATCGTTGATATTGGACGGGAAAAAGGGAAAAACTCTTTCGGGATTGTTTTTCAAGAAACTTGAGAACATGAATCAAGATTCAAGAACACAATCAAGAATGCAATGGGAATTTTTTTTTATGGTTTTCTAAAGAATAAGACACGAAAAAAAAAGTACTATGTAAGATAAGAATGAGATAAACCTAGGGAACCAAAGAAACCAAATTTCTAGTGATAATGAGATAAACCTAGGCTCTGATACCAAATTGATATGAACCTAATCCAAGATTCAAATAAGATGGAGTATTGTCCCAAGATTACTCTCAATGCAAAGATAGAGATGGATCAAAATACCTTAAACCTCACGAGAAACGCTTTGTCTCGAATCCTCAAAGACTTGGAAGAATCCCATGTTGCTTCAAGTACCTCGATGTTGCAATCTTCAATCAACTAGAGTCGGATCTAGTTTCCTTCGATTCAAGAACGAGTCCACGAACCTAAATCTAAGGTTGAAGAAAGTAAGATTGATTGGAGTCCACGAATCAATTTGCTAGTCGAGTCCACGACTAGCCACTAATTGAGTCCACAATTAGCCATAAGGTTTCTTACACAAGTGTAAAGAAAAACTTAAGAATTTTATTGAATTAAAGCCTCCTTGAAACTGATATGGATGTGCCCTATTTATAGGTATAGAGGCAGCATTATAATTCTAAATACAATGGAAAAAGAGTCCTAAACCTAATCTAGAAAATAAGTAAATAGAGTTTTATTTAGAAAAGGATTTAAGGAATCCTTTCTAAATATAACTAGTGTTTTCTCTTTTATGCCAAACAATTTAAATTAATGATGACCAAAAATAATAGGGCTGATTTGGGCCTAATTTAATCACCAAAATCAGCACTTAAACAATTATAAAAAGCCTTGAATTCTTCTTCTTTTTTTGCAAATGGGCTTGACTTGGATTTCCACCATCTTTGAATATCACCAATGAAGAGTTGTCTTAATCGTTTGGACTTGGGCCTTGTGATTGGCCCAATTGGTACTCTTGATGGATCTTCATTATGTTGGGCCGTATCAGGCTTCAATTCCCACACTTGCCCACCTCTTTTCCGGTATATTCAAATTTACCACAAGTGTTATTCTTTCATCCAAAGGTTTCCTCGCAATCTGTGACAAAGTGAGGTAATCCTTATCAATTGTCTGATACAACTCTTATTATCTCAGATTGGTGGCAGTTAAAGCCGTCCTCATGGTCCTTTGTACTCTTTCCCCACGCTCGG